ATTCACGGTTTCCGGACTAAATTCAACCTACCGAATAAATAACTACCCAGATCACTCTAGACGCTACCGCAAGACCCCCCCCCCCCCTTGGCTACGCCCACTTTCAAGGCTTCAAGCGGCTCTTTGCCATAATTTTGGTCTTCAAGATTTGCACCTTCCTAGGTTGTACCGATAAGCTCCACCCATTGCGGAAGTCTCCGCCCGCTTGGCTTGAACCCTGCCCGTTATTGAAAAGTCTCAAATTAGCAGAGTGAAGTTTCAGTTAACGGGTTAGCGTCTCTCGCTACCCGACCCTTCTTCGGGTGAAAGAACGTGGAAAGTTGTTAAGATCTTACGGAACAGAGGGCCGCCTTTCAGAACCGCAGGGCAGGATTCCTGCCCAAGCTACACTCCTTATCCCTGAGACGGAGTAGGCGTGGCTTTTGAGCATGGCATAGGACGGGTTTCTCGTGGGATACTTCAATTTGAAACAACTGCTATCTTGTTCTGTGTTAGATGTAGATGATTACGACTGCTCCAAAATGACAATATCTCACGAAAACCTGGGCCGCCGCCATTTTAAAATCAAGTACGCAGCCACGCCTACCCGATCTCAGGGATTTCGAGTATACAGTTGCGACTACCCTTGATAAGACAGGAAATGATTACAAAAACCTAAAGGTGGAAGTGACATAGTGGGGGAAAAGAACTTGAGGAAGTTCGGCGATGATAAATTGTTGTGGCTAAAATTGTGGTTGCTGAGGCGGCGTTCATACCCTACCGCTGAAAAAAAAATCGGAGAATCCGCGGAAAAGGAATGTGTATTTATCGAATGGAAGGTTCGGAGAATCGCGACAATCAGAAGATCGACAAAAACGAATGATGGAAACTGGTTACAGAGACAGAATACAGGCAATACTGTATGAAATGACGATATCGGTATGAACCCCAAGATATCCTCCTGGTAAGACCCCTCCCCCTCTCAACATTTCCCATCCTACCCACCATCATCCCCAGTCCACCACCTTCCCCCTCGAAAAAAATAGTTCGGACGGAAGGGTGTACAGCGCAAACGGGAAAATCGGAGAAGTCAACAACCGGGAAAAATTCAATCGCGAATTACGACCGAAGCCAAATACAACCATAAGCTTGAACGTCATGGGATTCCCGCAAAAATTCTGTTACCTGTCTAGCGTTAAGAGAATCGAAAAATCGCGAAACTATGAACTGAATGAATTAGCTTTTCGGGAAGAGGGTGCTTTTTCAGGTTTCTCTAGGCTTAGGCGAAAATCTTTGCCTTCTAGCGCACAATAGCTTCTTTGTACCTTCGAGCACTGAATGCTGTTCAAAATAAAAACAAGTGGAAATGAAAGCCTCAATCATGTTAAAAGTTGGTCACAACAGTCATTAGGTATCAACAAATGGGCCTTATCAGGTATCAGGAAAGTGGCAAACAGGAAACAGCGACTTGACAGGAATCAACAAAAAGAAATCGGTAAAGGAAAGCCCCCCTCCGCTGAATTGTACCGCAGCATTGGGAGAACAACGCAGGGAACCTAACATCTTAGAAAGCTCGAGAGGGCCCCACCGACGAGGACCAGTGCTTTTTGCAAATTCTTAGGAACACGTGCAAAACGGAAGCTGAGCTATCCCTTTCTCCTTTAGACCCCCTTCACATTTCTCATTCGAACAGTATTTCAACATAGTCAATTAATTTTCATTTCCAACCATTTTCTTTACTTAACAGTCACAGAAGGAAATCAATATTTTGGTGCTAACCTAAATGCGGAGGGACATCCACCAACATTTCCCCTGACTATTTCCCTTTTCTATCACGGTATCCTTATCATTAAAACACAGCTATAAACGAGAGCGTCAAGTCGGAGGGGATGGGGGAGGGAGAGTCGACAAATCGGCAGTCCCAACAAGAGCACGATCAGCGTTGATTCCAATTAGGAACTCAAATTTCGCGCCGAACTCGTGAAGGCGCGAACGGTGGCTTCTTTGAACTCGGCCAAATCCCTTCCATGGAGCAGCGTTTCACCGTCCCAAGTTTTATTTTCATGTTGCTTTAAATTTTCCTGTTGGTACTTGCTATTCTGAACATTTGTTTTCTTATCGTCTAGTTATGTTTTTTGACAAGCACTGTTTTTTTAGTGCATTAAGTTTAAGTCGTAGTTCCACCAAAACAATATTCCCTCGAATCGGTATTGCCTCTTAAGCAATGCTTTGATTTATCTCCATACAGCGTTTCCGTACTTTGGTCGTGTTTTTAAAGTTTGTCTCTTGAAAGATGTACATTAAACGACTCGAAATCGATGGCTTCAAGTCCTACTCGAAATTGCAAGTGATTGATGGATTTGATACTCAATTCAACGCTATAACTGGTGAGTCATTTCAAAATTGTGCTACGGAAGGGTTGTCATGATTGACAAGGCCTCCAAAACCTATGTTTCTTACTACAGTTATTAATTACGGTCAGATCAGCTATTTGTGAAAGACCACACAAGAAAACATCTAGGTGAATCATAGTACATTGCGTTTAGGGAAGCGTTAGGGGGGGGAGTACTTTAGTACTCATCAGCTTCATCACTGTCTACCTCCACCACGCTCTTTGCAGAAATTTCGGTGGAACAGGAATGGGGTATCCGAGCAACTCACTATCAACAAATGGGGCGCTGCTGAGCTTGCCAGGGGAATTTTGAACGCTAGCTCCTTCAGCTACCTCATGTTAACTAGCAGGTCCAATTTCGCTGAGCCTGTAAACCCATGCGAAACTGCTACGGTACAAATGAGCCCCTTTGGTTACAAAAGTTACAGGTCTTAACAGGTGGTCTGCACACAGGCTGTGCTGAGAACCATCGGGTGCCCACACCAAGCCGAACTGCGCCAAAGTGAGACCATCACCGGATGGTAAGACGATCCGATTTAGCAATGGAAACGCACAGAAATCTTCTTGTCTCCAGATCCCAACCACACCTATTATATTTCCGTGTGTGCGAAACAGCGGTTAAGCATCGAATCCTGCACCTCACTGGCAACCATATCGCCCCCTTCCCATCGTGGAATTTCCAACGCCTTGGGGCGACTAACTTGCCAGTTCTTTAGTATAGGTTTTTCGTTCGATTAGCTGTCGCTCTCTCGTATTATTTGTGCATGGGCTTGATCTCATCTTTATAAACTGTACCGCATTCTACCAGAAGCCTTAAAAGGTCCCTTGCCGACAGCAGATAGGGGACGCGATAATCTAGCAAGTTACTGTAAAAATGAGCACTAACACCTTGGAGAACGTTCGAATTACCAGTTGTGATTTCCTGCATACATTACATCCGCAGCTCAACTAGCGCAAAGTGATTTTTCGAGTGAAGCGAGTGAGCGCTGCTTCCATTTTTTTGTGAGTTCATCTCAGAATGTAGGGGTACTATATAGCTGGTTCTATCGTGAGGAAGTCAGGCGAGTTGAAAATCCCAACAGCAGTTTCGCAGTGAGGGCTTTCGTTGAGATATTCTTACCGAAAACGTTGGCTTCCCTCATTCTTTAACCCGATCTGGGCCTAGCACTTGTTTCATCCGTTTTAAGAGTTGAACCAACATCTTGAAGGTTTTCTGACTCTTTGACTCTTCTATGGCTGAGTTTTGAGCATTGGGAAAGTTGGGGAATCCGTGGAGCATCAGAAGCTTTTTTCGGACGAGTTTCTTCATCAACTTTGATGTTTCCAGAATGTCTCTTTTCTGGAAAGAAAAACATTTGCGACACCACTTTTTCTTATTTCTGTTCCCCTCTAATTTTATTTCCTGACTGCCCTTCAAAACTATATTTCCTGACTGCCTTTTTGCAGCCGTTTAAATGGTGACGGGAAAGTCGATATTTTTTTTTTTGTTCTGGAATTCGATTTGCTTCGTGCTAGGAATAACGAATCTTACTCATATCAGAGCAGGTTTGTTTTATTTTGTGAATTTCTCTATGCTTTTGCCGTATCTTCGATAGCGTTATTTGGAGTTGATGATTCAGGAACCCCATCAAAGGCCGGAGGTGTTTCACGAAATGTAAAATTTTCAGGTCAGCTTCATGACTTGGTCTACAAACAAGGCCAGGCGGGTATCACCAAGGCAACTGTAACGATAACATTTGATAACAAAGACAAGAAACATGGACCAATAGGGTATCATCACTGTGATGAGATAGTTATTCGTCGACAGGTATATCTTGGTTTTCTTATTGCTGGTTTTTTCTTGAAAATCAACTTGTTTTCTTTCCAGATTATTGTTAACGGACGTAACTCATATACTATTAATGGAAGCACTGCAACAAATGCGAAGGTATTTCGCTAGACTTTTGAGGATATCAGGCGCTATTTTCTAAGCACACCTCTGCCATGGGGCCTCCACAGGAATTAGTCGGGTATTAATGTTGAATAGAAAGTGTTATGAACCCGATTACAAGATTAAAATGAGCGAGAAGTGCATCGCGTTCATCCTCCCGAGAGTTTTCCACCACCTTGGAAGGAAACGGGCCTAATGCCCCATAAAGGTTCCTTGCCTATACGGAGGTCGGGGAGGTTCCTAAAAGTGTCTCTGGTTTTTGACGACTCTGAAAATACTGGATTGAGACCAGTGTTGGGTTCAATGGCTAGGGTGTCCACTATCCAGAAGTGCTGAAAATAAACTTGTCCTGGGCTTTTTCGTAGAAGCGGCTTTCATTTGCTTCCCCCTCTCCACCCTTTTCTTCCCCTCTTTTTGAAGCCTATGACTTTTCTCATAATCAGTGTTTTCCTTTAGGTTTCCGATTTCTTTCGCAGTGTTGGCCTTAATGTGAACAATCCCCATTTTCTTATAATGCAAGGACGCATTACCAAAGTACTCAACATGAAGCCTCACGAGGTATAGCCTGGCTTATGATTGCTTGATTTGACCGTTTTCCTCTCTGAGCTTAGCTGCATGGCAACAGTGCCTTGTTTTTAGATTTTGGGCATGATCGAAGAAGCCGCCGGAACTAAATTGTATGAAGCCAAAAGAACTCTGGCTTTGAACACAATCCATAAAAAGCAGTCCAAAGTTGATGAGATTGAAAAGGTACCGCTCTAAAAGGGATATGTCAGTATAACACGTTGTTATGTTGTACCTGTTTGCAGCTGATGGCCGAGGACATTTTGCCCCAATTAGAGAAACTACAAAGGGATAAGCAGAATTTTCTGGAGTATAATAACTGCGATCGCGAAATTGAGCGTCGAGAGCGAAAACTCACAGCATTCACCTACTACATGTCTTTGGTTGGTTTGAACCCTTTTTCATCATTCTGTGCCGTTTTTACTTATGATGATCGGCTAAGTTTAGAATTGAAACTCCGAAGCACTGCTCGAGAAGTTTGCTGTGGAAAAAAAGCAAGTAAGCAAATCAAATTCACTTGGAGGTGTGAATTGAAGCTGTCCTAGAGTCCCAACAGGAAGATCTTACTCGTGTGGAGGATGCTAAGAAAAGAGTCAGTTCAATTTTGAGCATCACTAGATCTACGATGGCCTTTTGTATGTGCTTATAGTTGCGCTTTACTTGTATTTGCCTGAAGTTAAAAAATTTAGCGTCATGCTGAGGCGTTTTCGTCATTGGAGGGAAACGTTGCTGAGGAGCTCGCAAGAATTGAAGCATGTGATGAGGAAAAACGTGAATGTAAAGAATCTTTTGGAGAGATTCTAACAGAATATGAAGAGAAGCGGAAATCTCTGAACAACGTGGGTAACACTTTCTCACTTTCGATTTAGTTAAAAAAAATCCCTGAATCCCTAATCGTCCACTGTTCCAAATTGTCATTTTCTTGGAAATAGTGGAAGAACTGCTGGTTTTCTAGCCCTTTTATGTTCTCGATTAAACATTCACGATTTGAACATTTATGACCCGCGCTCAACCAACCCGTAGGATTCCTGCCTTGCCCGTGTGGTCCGGGCGTAATCGCCAAGACTGTTCCATCATCGCACCTCAATGAGTGATGAGGGCGCTTAGACTATCATAGTCTACAGTCCACAGTTCCCTCAGTGAGGTTGGATTTGGTGCGCGCCATTCCGTCCTCCACGTTGTTCGTTGAAGCGAGTAAGCAACAACAAAACGACATACGTAAACTATATGGTACAGTCTTGTCGCTTACCGGGAGAAAAACGGGCTGGTGCCGCGCCTTCACTCACAGCGAACGAGACTGTAGTCGCGGTTTCTTGCGTGCGACCATGTGACGTTCTATATACTGTACAACTGCAGCTCAGGATGGGTGCAGCACCTTCGCCACTCAGTATGAAGTAGCGAAAGTGCGGCACTATCCGTGATTATGCACCGGGAAACCGAGCAGAGCAACAATCCTACGAGTTGGTTGAGCACGGGGCTATCTCTAAGGAAGGGTTTGTACTATTCGGTTTTTATAGACCTTTTATCTTGTGGAACTTTCGGATGAGCTGTTTTTTTGCAATTACCGTGTGCGGTTGACACTCGCAGTCGTGCTTAATATTTTTTTTGTCTTGAACATTCTGTTGACCCGAAGCTTCGTGGTGATCCGAATGTGTAATAATAGGATGTCTAAGAAATAGAATGTCCAAGTGTACTAAAAGATCTAAAAGTTTCTATTCCAAAAAGCTCAAAAGGGCTGAAAGATGCAGAAATTTTGCAAGTATTTCCGTGCGACAACTACAGTCTCCTTCTTTGCGTAGGACCCGCGGCAGATCTGAAGCAGCTGTCATTTCAATTCATTGCGTTAAATGTGCAGGTTGCGCCGTATTAGTAAAGGAACTAGATCGATTTTGCTTTATAGGAAATCAAGCAAATGAAGAAGAAGGAGGCTGATCTAGCTAAGTGGGAGAACGAAATAGGATCAAAGGAGGAAGCTTTCAAAACTGCTGAAGAGGTGCGTTTTCCCCTCATAAACTGGACGCTGGAATG